TTTTGACTCCTGCCGATTACTCAGACTGCACCCTATCTGGGATAGTTTGTCTCGTAATTTGTAGACTGCTTATCATCCGCTGAGTCATGGTGGAGTAAGCTGAGTCAGCACAGGACATTCTTATTGTTTCTAGTCATTTTCAAGTCGTTGCTATAGTTACTTTTGTTTCTTGTTCTCTCACCCTATTGTCTTCATATTCAAACTCATCTGGGGATTTGAAGAGGAGCTTGAATTGGAAAGGTATAAAAGGGAGAGAAATTTGGGTAGCTACAAGAGACAGTATCATTCAGAATCAGCACGACTCAGTATCAGTCAGTAGCACTACTGGTAGCCGTACCAGTCTTGCAATCGATTTATCTCTTACTTGGATTTCTACGACGACTCTCTACATTGAGGGGGAAATTCCTAGTCTGAGACACACCTGTTGAAGTCTATACGTTTGACTTCAATATCTTTACTCTTATACACATCCTCTGCTAGACTCTGGTAGTCAGCTTTCATTTTTTTCTTTGCTGATAGTTCGAACAACTCAGAATCAGTCTCTCAATCGAACAAAAGGGAACTGCTCAATTAACGATATATCCAGCATTCTCTTGGTATTTGTTTCCTAGTCTACCTAGCAGGTTCTGGGTATTTAAAATCTAGGCAGCAAAACTAACCGACAAATTTGGAGCCCACCGCGAGGGGCTGCAAACGAGTTCTGTTTCAAATTATCAGTTAAATCACTCTCTAGTTAAAGTGCGGAACTGGCTTCCAGCAAAAACAGCGAGAGTATATCATCAGTCTCTTCACCAAGCTTCAGTTCAGGATTAGTATCTCCCGACGCCAACGTCAAGCTTGCGACAATCTTAGGAGAAATCAAAGGAATGGTAGAAAATCAGACTCTGCCTCTCCCTGGTTCGTCCAGAGCCCCAAAATGTAAGGGCAAGCCTTCGAAGGTAGAAGAATTTTTGGAGGAGTTTGAAGAGTTAGGCAAGAGTTGCAACCTCCAAGACAATGAGAAACCAAAGAAGCTGTTGCGATACTGTAGTAGGGATGTCCGCGAAGTGCTGGAAACTTTGCCATCCTATACCACAGGAAACTGGGACTCCTTCAAGTCAGAAGTCCTAAAGATCTATGATCATACCAAAGACAAGAAGAGGTTCAGGAAGAAGGACCTCAAAGCTCTCTATAGGAATACTAGCAAGAAATCTATCAGCTCAATGACCAGTGTTAGGACCTACACCAGAAGAATGCAGAGAGTTGCTGGGTGGCTGTTGAAAGAGCAGGCCATCACAGACAAGGAGTATAACTATGCATTCTGGAAAGGACTTCCAAAGAGCCTTAGGACTAGGCTAGAGGTTCGGATACTTGCTAAGAAACCTGATATCGATGTTAAGGAGCCATACGATCGAACACTTGTCCAAGAGCTCCTCGAGAGACTATTTGAACGTGATCGCTTTGATGCAGACGATTCAGACGATGACGACGAATATGATTCAGATGCAGAGGACTACTACAGTGATAGGGACGACGACGATGAAAGTGATTATGGATATGCAACAGACAGTGACGAGGATAGCGATGAAGAATTTTTTCGCTCCAGAATAGTCCGGACGAAGCGAAAGGCTAGGAAACACAAAAGGGAAGAACAACGGGAGGAGAAACGTACAAGGTCCAAGCGGGAGAAAGCAAGAGACCGAGACACAATACGCGAGACAGATAGCAAAAGGACACAAGCAAAGGATGAGCGGAACCGCGCCATTCTTGACGGTGCAAAGGCAGATGAGCGCCTGCGCAAACTAGATCGTGAAGAATGTGACGCACACAATGACGATGAAGTTGAATCGTTAGTAAAACAGCTATCAAGAATGAGTATAAATGACGCACGTTATGCTGGAATGTACTACCGCGCGCTCAAGCTCGATCGTGACATTGTATTCACTGCACGACCGCCTTATGCTGGCGCATCCGATGCACCCGCACTCGCAACGAATCCACTCCCGCCGATAATTCCAGCTCCCCGACCACGACGTGCCTTCCAGTCGCAGACGAGCAACGGCGAAATGATTTGCTTTGGCTGCGGAGGGACGGGGCATGGCTTGAGCTCCTGTCCCAAAATACTCGAGTTGCTAGAGAAAGGCGTGTTGAAGCGGGACATGCGAGGCAAGCTCGTCATGAGCGACGGCTCGCGCATCCAACGAACGCCGACCGAGTCTATTGTTAACGCCGTCGAAAGGCAGTTAGCACGAACGCATTATGTGATATTAGATCACTACTCACCGGACAATAATGTATCCAACTTCCTCAACGCCGAATACGACTCTGACTCCTCTGACAATGAGGTATTCGTCATGCCCACCAAACGCGGGGTAAAGCAAGGACGCGCCGCACGCAAAGAGATGTTCGATGGGGTCGTTATGCCACCAAGATCATGCAGAGTAGACAAGAGAGGACCCCCAGGCGAGAAAGCCAAGCCAGAGGACATAGGTCTTGTCCCCATTGAAGTCCATGAAAGGCAGTATAGGCCGGAACGCGAAGATGTTGTAATGGAAGACGACTCCAGAGAACGCGCCAAACGGGTGCCTAAGCCCGGAGAGAAGTCGGGACCGATGCTAGGAACAAAACCAGAAGCTTCCGAAAAGTGGAAGCGTGCGATTCCATTGCAATCAAAGATCTCGGAAACGACAAATTCAAACAAAGTTCTCGATAAGATCCTGAGCACGCCTCTCACGCTATCTGTGGGAGAAGTGATAGGCATGTCCAAAGACGTCACCCACCAATTACAGGATGCGATTAGGTATAAGCGCCCAACGCAGCCACAAAATGGAACACTGGTGGCCCACACGGTTATAACCCATGATCGCGATGCTCTAATCAAATTAAGTATGGAATGCGATGGGCGACCATTGGACGCCATTGTAGACACCGGTTCTCAATTGAATATTGTACACAAAAAGGTGTGGCAACTGTACATATGGCGACCGATGGACAGAAGTCGACGGATCACAATGCACGACGCCAATGGCGGCGACGGAGTAATGGAGGGCTTAGTACAAAATGTGCCGCTGACGTGCGGAGGGATTCGTACTTGGGCTAATCTCTACGTCGCTGAACACGCTCCCTTTGATCTACTGCTGGGCAGGCCCTGGCAGTGCGGAAACCAAATCTCTATCGACGAACGTATCAACGGTACCTACTTGATATTCAACAATCCTTTCACGTCCGAACCGCGTCAAGAACTCTTGGTAGCGCCTGATCGAGTTCTGACGAACGCGAGCGCTAACGCTAATTTCAGCTACTACACGCAAGCCAACGCCTACCACGCACGTTATCCTATGACTGACACTGCCACTGATCGGGTGGGCTGGACCCATGGATCGAATGACACCACTATCTACAATTGGGATCTGTCGCGTGACGCTCGTGATACCCCGATGACTCACGAATCCAGTAATGGACTTCCCGTTGCGGAAGGACGTCGAAACGTGCACGGCGAAGTATGGACGGACGCTGCATTGACAGTTCACTTGGGTAACGGTATATTACCCAACGGTTCGTACTATGAGGATTATTTTGCGCCCCGTGCCGTCTTCACGCTCATTCCTACCGACGACGACCTTGCGCCTTCGTCGCGCGTTGGTATCCTATACACACGGTTCGTCCCTATTCCCCTTGACGACGACGCCAACCCAGGTTGGTTGGCGAGACCGTATCCGCCGGCTCTTGAATCTGCCGGACGTGACGTCGAAGACGTTGACTCGGAAAGTGACTATGGCCAGTACTACGAGGACGACGGAGTACCTATGGATGAGCAGCGAGGTGAGCCACCAAACATGCTCAATGATGGCCTCATGCTCATGTCGTCCCTTGCCGATGAAGAGGAGCACGCACAGCTCAACCCACACGTCCTCCTCGCAAGTACCATCGACCCACGACGACGCCGTCACTCAGATTCCGATATCTGCCCCTCTCCTCTTCGACTATGTCCCAGTCTATCCGATTTACGACCTCCCTCAGCCCCAGTTCGGTCGACATTTTCAGATACGGGTTATGAGTATAGTGACGCCGTCTCCATCAATAGCGGTGCCGAGGCCGACGACGAGGACTGTATGGAGAACACCAGTACCAATTCAGACATGCCGCCACTTCCGCCCCTTATCGCCCGAGCCCTTCAGCGACTTGAAGAAGGGCGGGGATGGTTCGATTACGCAAGTGATCGTACGCACGACGTCGCCTCCGCTAGACCACCCACTCCCATTCCCCCCGTCATCGACAACTTCACTCCAGTCCACGCCGATGAACCCGCCGCTCGAGAACGTGGCGACGCGCACGCATTCACTCCCCACACCGATGCTGACGCACCTCGAACCGACGAAGCGTCCGCTGCCTTCAATTCCTGGTGCGAACGTGTTCGAAGGGCGGCACTCGCTGAACTCAACCGAATCACGCGCGGAGAAGGTAATTACAACATTTCTGGAGGGTACTACGACGCGGCCAAGGAAGGTTATATCGAAAAGGTCGCCGCCGTCTACTCCGCCACTACCGACAACGCCTCCACCATCGCGGTTGACAACACCTCTGCTGTCACCACCAACGACACCTCCACGCTCGCAGACGACGCCGACGACGACCTCTATGCCCCGGCCGTCGATGACGCAAGTATTGTACCCGAGACGCCAGGAGCGTACGCCCATTCGCCCCCTGCCGCTACGCCCGAGGCAGGCGAGGGCTTAGCTGTCCCTGTCGCACCGCCGCTGTCTACCGCCTCGTCAAGCCCCGATCCTTTCGGGCCAGCATCCACACGTGCAACGCCAGGCTCCGCCGCTAATCCCATCAACGTCGACTCGGACTCGAGCTCGGATGTGGGTGAGGACTGGTACGAACGGGAGGCGCGCGTCTACGAACTTCGCGAGTGGATGTTCGAGGAGGTGGTGGATCATTTGCGCGATGCCTTCGACAACATCGAGGACATATTACGGATGGAAGTACTCGGTGCGCATTAGTCCTATCCCCTCCGCTATCTGGTTACGTATGATATCACTCGTTTTTGCACTTTGCTGCTGCTTTCCCCCCATGCCTATCACTCTTTCCATGCGGACGACTTTTCTCTCCCAGAGTGCTTCGCTGCTGGTCAGCAATCTCTGTCGCATCCCGAGCCTTCATTTCCTGGTAGTCCAGATATACCCCGTACGATTCGTCGCCGCCCTTGCCTTGTTATTAGCAGAACAATGTCTACGTCGATAGGATTGCAGGATCTATCCTATCTAGCTACTATGAATACACGCTCGTTATTAGTACAGCTGGACGATGAAGACTTAAGCAAAGCTGAAGACGCTGTACCCGAGTTAGTGTACCCTGAGGACGAAAATACGGACTTAGAAGATATCGACGATGCCTCGCATAGTCTAACTATGTACAAGCGAGTTGATCGCAAGATCAAACCCGTACCTGGCATATTTCCCGAGGACGCACGAGTTATCCGCCAATTTCCAGAAAATCCTTTATTATCGCTACCGACGTTATCAGTCATGCCCCCTGAATTTAATCCAACATCGAAATTTACGGCAGAACATATAGCCAAAATGGGGATAAATGCAGATGGCTTTCTCTGGCCCGAAGAAGAGAAGCTATTTGTACACATTTTGCAATTGAATGAGAAGGCATTAGCATTCCAAGACACGGATCGCGGAACATTTAGGGAGGATTATTTCTCACCATACATAATCCCTTACGTTCCTCACGTACCATGGTCTTATCCGAATATTCCAATTCCACCGGGAATCAAGAATGACGTTATTAAGGTTTTAAAAGACAAGATCGCCGCTGGCGTATATGAGCCAAGCCAATCCTCATACAGATCACGCTGGTTCTGTGTGGTTAAGAAGAGCGGGAAGCTCAGAATTGTTCACGATCTTCAGCTGCTAAACAAGGTTATGATCCGGGATTGTGGAACACCGCCTATACTAGATGATTTTGTTGAACCCTTCGCCGGAAGGGCATGTTATTCGGTGTTTGACTTATTTTGGGGATTTGATGCCAGAAAAATGGATGCCAAGAGTCGAGATATGACCTCGTTCTTGACCCCATTAGGTCTGCTTCGAATTACGTCTCTCCCCACCAGATATACAAATTCGCCTGCGGAGTTTCAAAATTGCATGACATTTATTTTGCAAGATGAAATTCCACAGAAAGCCAACATATTCATTGACGACCTACCAATTAAAGGCCCCGAAACTCAGTACCTGGATTCTGATGGGAACCCAGAGGTGCTAGAAGAGAATCAAGGTATCCGACGATTTATCTGGGAGCACGCCCAGGACGTGCATCGTATTATGCATCGAGTTGGACATGCAGGAGCTACGTTTTCGTACAACAAAATTCAGCTCTGCAAACCAGAAGTCGTGATAGTAGGGCAGAAGTGTACCCCAGAAGGACGCCTGCCAGAGGATGGGAAGGTGGAGAAGGTTAAGAATTGGCCACCTCCCAAGACAGTTAAGGATGTACGAGGATTTTTAGGTTTATGCGGAACAGTCCGAATCTGGATAGAAGGGTACTCGGCAATTGCGAGACCTCTCACGGAATTAATTCGCAAAAATACCGAATTTATATGGGACGAAAGGAGGAGCTTAGCATTTGCAAAACTCAAACAGTTGATCACAGAAGCCCCTGCCTTGCACCCTATCAACTACAATTCTGATCGACCAGTCTATATGTCAGTAGACTCAAGCAAGATTGCTGTCGGATTTATCCTGTCACAAGATGACGAGAATGGGAAGCGGAGACCAGCACGATACGGCTCGCTGCCATTTAACAAACGAGAAGCACGTTACAGTCAGCCAAAGTTGGAATTGTTTGGATGTTACCGAGCCTTGCAACATTGGAGACTACACCTAGTTGGTGTGAAGAATTTGATCTTAGAAGTTGATGCGAAGTATATCAAGGACATGCTCAATAATCCTGACCTTCAGCCAAATGCAGCAGTCAATCGATGGATTCAGGGAATATTGATGTTCACATTTGAATTACGACATGTTCCAGCCGCACGACACAAAGGTCCAGATGGCTTATCACGGAGAGAGCCTACACAGCAGGAGATAGAAGACGCCCAAGCAGAAGAAGAGGCAGATGATTGGCTGGAGAAGATTGCCTTATACTGCCAAGCAGAGGAGGTCGACGGAGCACCCGAGTCCTTTGTCCTAAGAGAGAATACTCAGGACAAGATACTGCACCAGATTCGACACTTCTTGGAGACGCTAGAAGTACCAGGAGCACTGTCCATACAGAACAGACGAAGGTTCATACAGAAAGCTAGTCGATATTTTATCAGACAAGGCCTCATGTTCAAGCGGAATGGTCCCAAGACACCGATGCTAGTAATTTTAGACCCAAGACAGCGGAATAAAATCCTCACTCAGGCCCATGAAGAGTTAGGGCATCGTGGAGTGCATGGAGTCTACCACACGATTAAAAATCGATTTTTCTGGCCTTATATGTTCCAAGACGTAAAGAGCCATGTTGGGTCGTGTCACGAATGCCAGATCAGGAATACAAAGAAGGTGGAAATACCACTAACTATATCCACCCCTGCCACCATTTTCACAAAGCTCTATGTCGATATTATGTTCATGCCCAAAGCAAAGGGCTATCGATGTATCGTGCAGCTCGAGATG